AGCCATCGAGAGAGAAAGGTAGATAGCAACAGACCTGACAAAAGGGAATACACAGGGCAGGGAGGCTTGGAACGAGGGAGCGGGAAATGGCATCACAGGGGGAAGAGGGTAGGGGACCTTTTAAAATGTGTGGGGTTTTTTTCCTTATTATTTTTTTTTAAAATCCAAGCCACCTAAATAGACCAACCAGAAGACTTCAAAACACCAGTCCTAAGACACCTAAAACAAACTCGAGCACAAGGGTTTGAAATATTTACAGACCCAGGGAGAAGGCGCGCACGGGGGGGGGGGGGTTTTTTGAGGGGGGGGGGGAGTTATTTGATGGGGGGGTTCTCAAAACATCCGTACTTATTTTTTTTTTAAATTTTTCGAAGCTTTTTTTATGCAAAAAAAGGAGAGCAAGGATTGATTTTATCCCCGACAAGCACGAGAGGAAAAAATATTATACCAGACCGGGGTGGAGGCGGGAGGGGAGGGGTCGATTCGGTGAACGAGAGGCCACTATTGAAAGACAGACTGTGTCGCAAGGCAGCTGCGTGAGATGCATTCAAGAAGCGGGGAGGGGGTCTCTTGGGGTTGGGGGAGCTTCCTGTGGGGTGAGGAATGGGGGGGGGAAGAGTGGCATGTTTGTGAAATGGTGGCGTTCGGGCCCAGTGGAGGGAACCCTAGATTTTGGTCATTGTAAGAAAGAGAGATGTGAAGTAATGTGGCACCCCGAAAAGGAGAAAAGGAGAGAGAGAGGGGGGGAACCCCGAGAGGGAAATTCAGCACCAGAAAGGGAGGTCGTGCGGACAGCGGTTTTCAAACTGTGTTCCGGGTTATCTGTCTCCCCCCTGCAACGAATAACTAACAGTGGGGGGGGATGTCGAGGGGGTTCCAGAGCATGCCCGGTCCCTGCAGGGCCGCTATGAGGCCCGGTAAGCTGGCCGACCAATGACCCGCAGGACCCGAATTCTAGAATATGTCCCAGAATCCTTTGCAAACGTACAAGTTCCGTGGCAGACACACAGGAGTCCCTTGGTGGACACGATAACGTGGAAACGATTCCCTGACTGTAAAAAAAAAGATAGTTTGAAAACCACTGTTCCCAGAAAGCTGGGACGAGGCATGGTTTGAATACAGAGCAAAGAATTTTAAAAGGGACGAAGGGAAGGAGACTTGGCAGATCGGGGAAGCGGGGTCGAGGTTCAGCTGGAGATGTTAGGAGATCTCGGTCGGCGTAATCCGGAAGAAGAGGAGGGCGCCCCGTGTGATCGAATGATCCGCAGCCCCTTTGACTTTCTGTCTCACGTAAGCTGGTTCCTTTCTGAAGGACTTCTGAACTGCGGCTCCTGATCCTTCCGCTTAACCCACGAGACATCCGCAGACTCTATCCCAAAGGCAGGGATCGTATCCCACATCTCCGGGCTCTTACTAACCTTTCCTGGGTTGGAGCGAAGATGTGACTTTGCGCCACCGGCTAACCCGAACCCCCTCCCCTCCGACAATTTACAAATAATAAACATTTCCAGGGCTTGAGGAGGGAGCGTCAGTTCTTTTGGCAACGTTGAACCCTGAGCCCCTCCCCACCGACGCCCCCACCACTTTCGTTTACGTAAGCCCCGCCCCGTTGGCCCCTATCGTGGCTCCTCCTTCCTCGCCGCACACATACATATTTTGGCTGAGGACATCTTTTTTTGGGGTGGGGAAGGGCGGAAATGAGAGATTGACTTTTCTCGGGTAGGGTGGATAATTTTGGGGGGGGGGATCCCCTGATTTTCTGACCCTCCCTGATTTTTGGAGGAGGGGTTGATTAGTAAACAAAGGGGTGAGTCCACCCCATTTACCGTTTCTGTTTAAGGGAGATGATTTTTCGAATGAGGAAGTTGTTTCGTTTCCCTTGTTGGGGGTTGGGGTTTTTTTTACGTCTTTGCTCCCCCAAATAATCCAGAGGGAAATCCTCTTCCCCCCGGATTGGGGGGGCATACTTTGTGGAAACGCCCCCTCTTACTCCAGGGCTGCAGCCACATTAGTGGGGCTGGTAGCGCCCGAGCTGTCGTTTCCACCTCCTTCTTTGCTTTTCTGACCGCTGTACTGGCCGATGAAGGAGCCGTCCTCGTTGAACTGGACGTCCACACTTCCCCCGTAGTCCGCCAGGCTGTCGTCGCTTCCGAGGGCTTTGATGTCGCCGTTCAAAGAGGGCTGGCTGCTTGTGAAGGGCTTCTCTTCATTGTCACTGTAGTGGGGAAAAGGAGAGTCTTGAGGCACTGTAAGAATGCTGGTAGCCCGATGGGTTCGTTTCACTCGCCAAGGGTGACCTCAGGCCCCAAACTGCTGTGGTTTGTCAATTCCAGGCACCAAAATGTGTTGGGCCAACCATGAGCACCAACTGAGGTGCTCCAATCAGAATCACTTAGGAAGCATCCTCTGAATCTCATTTTGGGCAAGCCGACTGGCTTTAAGTTAAAGAGGGCACCAAGGCTGCATAAACTGGATATCGCACAATCATTGTGCAATAGCAGTCATTTGCAATCGGACTGGCTCGTACACACAAGGAAATGCCTTGTGAATTAATGTTGTGGCATAATGTCAGCACAATGTCCATCCATGTGCCAAGACTCAGGTAATCACTATGTGTTCTGTAGGGTAACATGCAATACTCTTGCCCTGGACCATAGCCAGAAAAGTATTCAAAACTGCATTCCCCTATGTGCATGAGCCGGTCCTATTGCACAGTGATTACTATTGCACAATGACTGTGCAATATCCAGTATGGGTCGCCTTTGCATGTTTTTGGGAGAGAGGACCTATCGGAAATTCACGCCAAACTAGTGTTGCCAGCGGGTGGGGGACTTACCAGGAGCCTCCGGGAGAGGGGAGGAAGGGTCTGGGAGAGGGAATTCTAAATCTGAGTGAGTTGCCGTCACATTTAAAGGGACCAAATTCCTTTTAAATGCTTTCCCTCCATTGGAAATAATGGAGGATGGGGGCACCTGCTTTTGGGGTGCATAGAATTGGACCCCCTGGTCCAATGTTTTTGAAACTTGGGGTTTATTTTGAGGAGGGGCACCAGCAGCTATGCTGAAAATGTGGTGCTTCTATCTCAAAAACAGCCCCCCCGAGCCCCAGATACCCACAGATCAATTCTCCATTATATCCTATGGGGACTGGTCTCCGTAGGGTATAATGGAGCACCAGCAGCTATTTCTCTGCCCCTCAGTTTCTGATAGCCCTGAAGCAGGGGGAGGGGCTACAAACCAGAGGATCTCGTGCCCCCAACTGGGGATTGGCAACCCTATGCCAAACACGCCCAAAGACAAGGACACGATAGACAAGGACTCGATCATGCTACTCTTAATCACAGCTAACTCCCACCGAAATCATCGGGATTTCTAGAGGTACATCCCATTCTTCTCCTTTCCATGACAGTGTCAACTGATTTTTAGCGACACTTAGCTAATGTATTAAATTATTCTTTTTAAAAAAACCAAAAACTGCTTGTTTCAGAAATAAGGTCCAAATACTCAAATTGTTGGCTTTTTTTACAGTCACTGGCGAGGAAAAAATCAGATGATGGGGAAGACGTTTGCTTCTCTCTGAGGATACAGGGAGAACCCTGTCTGCCTGAAACGCGCCTTCCTTGTATCTTGACAAGCTGAAGGGATACAGTTCATTTAAAAAAATACTTGAAACCTGAAAATTCAGGGAGGGTGCCCCAATTATCTCAGAGACCACACAGAATTAAAAACAGCAGCAGCAGCAAAAACTTTGAGTACCCAAGATGCATTAGCCGCGCACAAAAATAGTATATACACCCCAAGGAAGCATGCCCGGGTCACAGCGGAAACAGACATCGGTAAACAGACTGGCCGGGCAAACATGCACGATCAGGATCCAGAGCATAATAACAGATGTGAAAAGCGAAAGAAACAAATGCATTCATGCACGGCATGTGGAAAGTTTCTTTGATGGAACTCCACAAGGAATGCACTCAGGGAAGAGGATACACGAGTGCACGACTGGCAGTGTAACGGAGTGAAGTGTGCGCGCACTCGAAAAACAGGCCTGCAAAGGAGACTCTGTAAAAAACCCAAAAAACCCAAAACCAGACTCGTTCAACTACAGGATCGTAGAAAGGACTTAGTAATAGCAGATGTGACAAGAGTTGGAAATTTGGCTGCTTTTGCATTTAAAAAAAAAATCACACTTTCAGTCAAGGATATCCTGATTCTGTACCAAGAACGGCTGAAATCTGCCACTTGTATGAATTGGGCACATTAAGCAAATTCGCACAGATTTTTTAAGTTTGCATTCCCCCCCCCTGCTTCTTCTTGTCACCAGGGGTGGGGGTACACAAGGCATTGACACCCCCCCCACCTCCGGAGCATATTTCACCTCCATAGAGGCCAGAAATATACTTTAAAAAAAAAAGGTGAGATGCTCAAAAGGCAGAGTTCTGTCGCTTTTCTGCGTTTGTGTGGAATTGCATAATGCGCCTAGTTGTGGCTCAAGAATACTGGGTGCCAAAAGTTCCAAAGGGATGCTCAATTGCCCAATGGAGTGCATGTTATGGAGATGACATCAGACATCAGACAGAAATGCGTAAATGGACATGACGAAGCAAGCGCTGGAGGGTGGCTGGCTGGCAGGCCGTAGGAGGGTGCAAAATGCCTGCAACCATGTCCTCTGTGGCCCCCTCTCCCCAATCCTGGCAAAGCAGCGACAGCAGTCCGAGCCCGTTGCTCTGAGCAAAGAGGGAAGCAGGCAAATTTGCTCAGCTCGGGCTAAGCCTCTATTCAGTGCCTCCTGAAGCCCCCCCTTCAAGACACGGGGGGGGGCAGCTGAGAGGACAGAGTGGTTGTGCGCAGGGAAGGCAGTCCAGGAGGCAAGGAGTCCGGGGTGGAGGGCTTGTTACCTAATTCTAAGCATGGATGAACTTCAAGGCAGGAAGACAATGAGAGAGAAGAAGGGGGTTCAGACGGAGGGTCAAATCCTACACACCACTTTGGTCGTATTTGCCACGACGGCACGATTACGTATGGACGCAAACACAAACACGCACACATTCTATCCCCCCCCTCCCCTGCCTTGGATATAATCCGGTTTCCTTACAAGCAATGGTTTCAACGGGAGGCGGGTAGCACTCGGACACGTGAAGCTGACTCATACCGGATCAGACCCTCGGTCCCTGTACGACACCCCTCCCACCTTCCGACGAGGATAAAAGGACTCAGAGATCCCCATTTCTGCTCTACTCGTATCTGACGAAGGGAGCTTTGACTCTTGAAAGCTTACCCCCTGAAGCTCTTGTTGGTCTCTGCGGGGCTCCTGGACTTGAAAAACAACTAGCCTGGGAGAAGGACTGTGTTTTGCTAACAAAAGATCAGCATTGGGCTAAAATTTGGAACTCATTTCCGTTTATGACCAATCAGGGCTATTTTTGGGCAGGAAAGTTCCGGCTGGCTCCTGAGTTGGCCACGCCCAGCAGGAACTCATTAGCATAATAGGCCACACCCAATAGCAGAAACTCATTAGGATTGGCTACATTAGGGGTGTTCCTGCTACAAAAAAAGGCCCTGGGTTTTGATAACAAACAAGGTAAACAGAATAAGAAGGGAAAGGTAGCTGTGGCTGGATGACCACACTTCAGGTAACATGGGGGTGTGGCCTAATGTGCTAATGAGCGGTGCTGTCAGGGTGTGGCCTAATATACTAATGGGTTTTGCTGTTGGGTGTGGCCTATTATGCTAATGAGTTCCTGTTGGGCTTTTTCTACAAAAAGAGCCCTGTCAGACCAATAATCTTCTGGTTAAACTACCAACCTTCAAAATCTATTCTCGCTGGTGCTTTACGCCAAGCCGAGTGTTCTTGTGTAAGTTTAAGGCAAACCCAAAGAAGGGTTGTGGTAAAAAAAGGAACGTTTTTACACTCTTGGTGGGCTTGCCCCAAAATCTTTGAATACTGGGAGAATATTCTTAGTGAAATCTCGAAAATCATTGGTCACAATATTTCAAATAAGCCGGAATCGATACTCCTGAACTATTGGCCAAACTTATCTCTGACTAGACAAACTTCAGAACTTGTTTCACTGTTACTCTCTGCGGCTAAATCGTTGATAGCACAATAATGGAACCAAGTAACTATACCTACTTTGAAGCAACGGACATCTAAATGCTGGGACATGGCTGTAGCCGACAAAATAGCAACTCAAATAACTGTCTCACATACTCCAACCAGGACAAATAATTTTCGAGAAAAATGGCTCCCATTTTTAGATTATGTTAACTCATGTTCTAATTTACTATATATAAAAAATGTCAAATATTTAGATATTGTTTTCTATTAAATATAATAGGTCATTTCTATCTTGCAGACGGGATTGTATCCATGGAAGGTAGCTGTATTGTTCTAATCACCTGGATAAAGGGTGGAGCCATATCTTTTGTTATGTTCTCTGCTATTATGTAATTTGTTGAAACACATGTTTTATGCTGAACGGTCTGACGCCGTTTTAAGTTATTGTGTTGTTAATATGAGAAAAATAAAAAAATGTTTTTTTAAAAAAAAACACTGTTCTGCCGCACACAAAAACGCCCCCCCCCCTCTCCTGACCCCTTAACGCGGGTTAAATTCGTGGTTATAATAGATCAGGGTTTCACATAATGGATGGGATCTAGTGCAAAAGTTTGCTAGAGCTCTTGCAGCAGGGGAAACACGAGGGGGAAAGGATTGCGGTAGCCACTTGCATTTCCGTTTGCGCACGAGTCTTCTTTCATTGGTAAAAGGTACGTGAGCTAGCCCAGTTTCTGAGCACTGTCACATCTAGGGAGGAAAGGGCTAGTTGTTACACAAGTTTTTGCGCGAGCGGAACTGCGCCCAGTCCATTTTATGTTTCTGCTGGGGCACCAGTCTTTTCCACATTCTTATTTTCTTTGCTTGCGTGTTCCTGTTGCATCAGGGGGTTTCCCCCCCGTTTCACACTTGTTTTTCTCCCTCTAGTGGTTGATTCGATATTACATCGATTTATGTCCAGCTTCTCTCCCTGCAGATTTCCACTGCAGGTTTTTATGCGTGATACCGAATTGACTACTAGAAGAAGCAAAGCAATGCAGAACCGGGGGGTGGGCTGAAGAAACAGGAACTTACAAGTGAGGAAAATGAAAACGCAGATAAGCCCCAGGTCCACCGTTCTTTGAAAATAATGTCCCTCCACAGTATGGACGGCCAAAAAGACTCACACAACCATTTTTAACTTTAAAAGGGGTAATTTCTCTGATATGAGGGGACACGTGGGGAGGAAACTGAAAGGAAAAGTAGAAAGGGTCAAAACAATTGGGGAAGCTTGGGATCTATTTAAAACTACGATCCTAGAAGCTCAAAAAATATATATTCCGCAGGTTAGGAAAGGCACAAACAGGTATAGGAAAAAGCCTGCATGGTTAACAAACAGAGTAATGGAGGCTGTAAAAAGTAAAAAGAATTCCTTTAAGCAGTGGAAAGCTAGTCACAGTGAGGCTGATAAAACGGAACACAGGCTATGGCAAATAAAATGCAAGTCTGAGGTCAGGCAGGCAAAAAGGGAATATGAGGAGCATATAGCAAAAAACGTAAAAACCAACAATAAAACTTTCTTCAAATACATTAGAAACAGGAAACCAGCCAGGGAGGCAGTGGGGCCCTTGGACGACCAAGGGGTAAAAGGAGTATTGAAGGATGATAGGGAAATGGCTGAGAAGCTAAATGCATTTTTTGCCTCCGTCTTCACTGTGGAAGATGAGAAGTGCTTGCCCACTCCAGAACCACTGATTTCAGGAGGGGTGTTGGAAGACCTGAGTCAGATTGAGGTGATGAGAGAGGAGGTCCTAAAACTGATAGACAACTTAAAAACTGAAAAATCACCAGGCCCAGATGGCATACATCCGAGAGTTCTGAAAGAACTCAAATGTGAACTTGTAGATCTCCTGACAAAGATATGTAATCTTTCCTTAAAATCTGCCTCCATTCCTGAGGATTGGAAGGTAGCTAATGTCACTCCCATCTTTAAAAAGGGTTCCAGAGGAGATCCGGGAAATTACAGGCCAGTCAGTCTGACGTCGATACCGGGTAAATTGGTGGAAACCATTATTAAGGAAAGAATTAGTAGGCACATAGATGAACAAAACCTATTGAGGCAGACTCAGCACGGTTTCTGTAAGGGAAGATCTTGTCTCACTAACCTGTTAGTGTTCTTTGAGGGGGTGAACAAACATGTGGACAAGGGGGATCCAATAGATATTATTTACCTTGACTTCCAGAAAGCTTTTGATAAAGTTCCTCATCAAAGGCTCCTAAGTAAGCTCAAAAATCATGGGATAGAAGGACAAGTCCTTTTATGGATCAAAAACTGGCTAGTTCATAGAAAACAGAGAGTGAGTGTAGGTGGGCAATTTTCTCAGTGGAGGGTGGTAAGCAGTGGGGTACCGCAGGGATCAGTACTTGGTCCACTGCTTTTTAACTTGTTCATTAATGATTTGGAGATGGGAGTAAGCAGTGAAGTGGCTAAATTTGCGGATGATACAAAGTTGTTCAGGGTGGTGAAAACCAGTGAGGATTGTGAGGCACTCCAAGGGGATCTGTCAAGGATGGGCGAGTGGGCGTCAACATGGCAAATGGGGTTCAATGTGGCCAAGTGCAAGGTGATGCACATTGGAGCCAAAAATCCTAAATATAAATACACGTTGATGGGGTCTGAACTGGCAGAGACTGATCAAGAGAGAGATCTTGGAGTTGTAGTGGATAACTCACTGAAAATGTCGAGACAGTGTGTGACTGCAATAAAGAAGGCCAATGCTATGCTGGGGATTATTAGGAAGGGTATTGAAAACAGATCAGCCAATATAATAATGCCCCTATATAAATCAATGGTGAGACCTCATTTGGAATACTGTGTGCAGTTCTGGGCACCACACCTTAAAAAAGATATTATAGCTTTGGAAAAAGTGCAGAAAAGAGCAACTCGAATGATAAAAGGGTTGGAACACTTTCCCTATGAGGAACGGTTAAGGCGCTTAGGGCTCTTTAGCTTGGAGAAACGACGACTGAGGGGTGACATGATTGAGGTTTATAAGATTATGCATGGGAAAGAGCAGGTAGAGAAAGAGGTACTTTTCTCCCTTTCTCACAATACAAGAACTCGTGGGCACTCCATGAAACTGCAGAGCGGTCGGGTTAGAACGGATAAAAGGAAGTACTTCTTCACCCAAAGAGTGATTAACACATGGAATTCACTGCCACAGGAAGTGGTGGGAGCTACAAGCATGGACGGCTTCAAAAGGGAATTAGATAATCATATGGAGCAGAGACCCATCCGCGGCTATTAGCCACAAGGTATAGCTAGGGGCTCTGGGGCAAGTGATGCTCTGTCTTCTTGGTGCTTGGGGGGGGTCAACAGTGGGAGGGCTTCTAATGTCCTGGCCCCACTGCTGGACCTCCTGATGGCACTGGTATTTCTGGCCACTGTGTGACACAGAGTGTTGGACTGGATGGGCCTTTGGCCTGATCCAACATTGGCGTCTCTGATGTCTCTGATGAGTGCTACAGGTAGTTCCCTATGAAACTGCCGTTATTTTTCGCTCACTTTTAATGACCAATTCAGACAATGGGCTTTTCTGCATTCTCATTTTTCTTGCTTGTAAGTTCTTGTTTCTTCAGGTTTTTTTCTGTTCTGTACACATTTTGCGCCCTCTAGTGGTCGATTCAATATGCTCCCTCTAGTGGTCGATTCAATATGCTCCCTCTAGTGGTCGATTCAATATGCTCCCTCTAGTGGTCGATTCAGTATCACAGAGGTTCACGTCTGGCTTATCTCCTTGCAGATTTAAACTGCAGGTTTTTATGCTGGACGTAAACCAGTCTGATATCAAATTGACCAGTAGAGGGAGCAAAACGCATACAGAACACCCACCCACCCCTGAAGAAACAGGAACATGAAAATGAGGAAAATCAGAATGCGGAAAACCCGAATATTGAAGCTAACCCACTGCATCCCACTCTGAAGAAACCCTTGAAGAAACAGGAACGTGAAAATGAGAAAAATCAGAATGCGGAAAAGCCGAATATTGAAGCTAACCCACTGCATCCCACTCTTCTCTGTTTTATTTTCTTCAGACCTGATTCATGGCAACTTTGAAAAACTTAAAGCACAATTGCAGTCCCACATGGGCTGCCAAAGAACTATTGAGGTTTCTCAGGGCTAGCTGTCCATTAAAATCTTTGCCCCTTTCTTCTCTTTCCTTTCAGTTTCTCTCGTGAATGGCTATAATTTCTTGTGTGTGAATGGGGAGGAGCTTAAGCACTTTTTTCACAATCAAAGACACAGTTCAAAAAAGGTATGGGGAGTATGCTTGCCAGCCAGTTCCTGGAAACCAGCGAGAGTTGGGGGTGTGGGGACACGAGGGAGGTGTCAGCGCAACAGCAACACAACACTTCCAGGGGAAACCCAGAAGTGACACCATGCCTCTCTAGGAGTGTGAGCCGGAAACTCTATGGGTAAAACCACAGAGTTTCCGGCGATTCCTAGAGAGGCATGATGTCACATCTCGGTTTTCCCCAGAAGTGACATAAAGCTGTTGGACGAAAGGCAATTTTTTTTAGTTTATTTCCCCCCCCCCGTTGGTCAACAGAGCAGCAGTGTGTGTGCATGTGTGAAGGGGAGCATTTCCCCCCAGCATGGGTAAAAGTAGTGTGGGGGGAGCTTTTTCATATAAGAAAATGGCATGGGGGTGGGGGAAGTTTAAGGTTTCCCTGCTTCTCAGTACTTGGCAACTAAATTCAGAAAAGGAGAAAAGATTTTAAAATAAACATGGTTAGTTGCTCCGTAAAAGAATGACATGCATCCTGGAATGAACCACTTACAGATGCCGTTAATGTGAAATAAAGCATTGGACTCTGGTGGAATGAGAACAGTGAGAAAGACGGGCAAGAGCGTGAGTGCCCCATTCCCTCCAGCCCCATCTTCCTCAGTCCCAGGACACGCCCCTTCCTCTCTTACCTCTCCAAGGATCTGCACAAGCGAAGCGAGAAAAGGGAAGAAAGAGAAAGAAGGAGAACCAACATCAGATTGATAAAGGCATCCAGCAGAGGGCAAAAAGCAGAAATGTGTGCACGAAGTGGGGTTAGATCAGGGGTCCCCAGCTTTTTTGAGCCTGTGGGCACCTTTGGAATTCTGACACAGAGTGGTGATAGCAGTCACAAAATGGCTGCCGTGTTGTGTGGTGGTGGCAGCTGCTACCAAAGCAACGTTTTTAAAAAATCTGCAGTCCTTGAAAGAGCTCTCTCAGCCCCACCTACCTCACAGAGTGTCCGTTGTGGGGAGAGGAAGGGAAAGGCGTTTGTAAGCCACTCTCCTTCAGGTAGTGAAGGGCAGGGTATAAATCCAGTCTCCTTCTTCTTTGCTCTCAGAGCCACATGCCTACATGCCTTGCTCTCCTAATGTATCTTTGCCCGAGTTCATATGCCTTCCAGGGCTTCCATGTATCAGGCGCCAAGCCTAAACCTTTGAGATTAGTACGTGAGGCACCATAGTATCTAGGAACATTGTAAAAAATTGCCTGGGCAAAAGTTCATAGCTGAGCAAGGAGTTCATACCATCAGTAAGTGGGTGGGGTCTGGTTTCTATCAAAGACCACCCCATTCCTGAGCAGCATCTTGCATTGAATCCTACAGTTGACCAGAAGGGTATATGTTGTCTGTCTGTACACTGTCCCGGGCTGTTTCGCCAATACTTCTTGGTCTTGGTGAACAGACAAGGAACGTTCCTTTGGGGGTGGGTGGGGTGCTCATCTGCTTGTGCCATTTTGGCACCACAGTCTTTACGTTTTTTGAACAGAGCCATTGAGAAGAAGAAGATCTCCTCATGACCTAGAACCGCTCGCTGAGAAAGACGTCCTCACTTTGTGGCGGCAAAAAGAGAACTGAGGGGAGAAGTGCTAGCTCCTCCCATATCATGTGACTTTTGGGCGGGAAAGGGCACTGTTGCTATGGGAAGACTAGCACGCTTGGGTTTCTATAAGAAGTTTTTTTAGCTCGCTAGCTCCTCCTGGTGGCTGGCCTGCAACTGCGCAGTCCCATGCGGGACGGCACAAAAGCCACACTGATGAACCATTCGTTCTCTGTACTCTTTTTTATAAAGTTCAATAAATATAGTATGTTAGTGTGAAGCCGACTGGACTGTCTCTCTCTGGGATTAATTCAAAGTCTGGGCTAGTCTCACACTGATCCTTCGGACCCTGGGGGTTCGGGCTGCAGACCCCACAATCCTTCAACACGACCCCATGCAAAGTGGGTGAGGACGGGTGGTCACCAGCTGGGTGGGAGCTGTTCCTTCCCCTTCCCCCATTGGTGAGGCAAGGCTGGGATGGACGGACTGGAGGGTTTCTAGTGGAGAACACTTCCATTTCAACGAGGGCAGCCGATAACAAGCTCTTCCTTACAATGGCAACAAACCGGACCACGGTGTATGTAACTAAGCAAAACACTAAATCACCATGTATAATTTTACATTTTTTAAATATATTATGCTGAACATGAATTATTAAAGTATTTTAGAGTGATTCATTAACACAAATACAAATTAACCATGAAGCTCAACAGTACATTCAGAATGATGTCTAGGGTTGCCAAGTGGAACTTACCTTGGCGGCGGGGGAATCCTGGGTGGATCCTGGAGCGCGCGCGCGCAAAGCACACACACGCCGCACACATGTCACCAGGAAGTGACGTTATGACGCCGGGCATGCTGGGGGCAGGGCCATGACCATACAAGGGAAAACCATAGAGTTTTCCCTTGTATGGCTGTGGTCCCGCCCCCAGCGTGCCCGGGTCACTTCCGGGTGACGCGCATGTCGGGGAGGAGTTCCCCCCGGGGCCCGATCTGGTGGCACTGGGGAACGGGCCTCTGGAGCGGGGGCTTCCCCGCCCCCCAGGTGGACTTGGGATCCCTAATGATGTCACTTCTGTAGAAATATTTACAGCCAATAACAAGGCCTTATCTTTGGCACAAGGCCCTAATCTAATATACTTATTACAAAGGCAACTAAGACAAACAACAGCGTTCTAGTGATCATTCCGTTTGCGTACTCTTCATCAGGTTTGTCTGTTGTTGTTGATTCAACACCATCTTGAAGTACTGAAGGCAGTGTTTCAAGATTCTTAGTAGTAGTTCATATACTATATTGTTGCCATGCTATTACTGCATTTAAGTTCTGGTGACTGGGAATCGCCAATATCAAAACTACGATGTGACTAGGTCTACAATACATTTCAAATGGCCATTCGGAATGTACTGTTGAGCTCCATGGTTAATTTGTATTTGTGTTAATGAATCACTCTAAAATACTTTAATAATTCATATTCAGCACAATATAAAAATATTAAAAATTGTAAAACTATACACGGTGATTCAGTGTTTTACTTACTTCCTTACAATGGGCCTGCCCACTGTCTGATAAGCTTGGTGGGCAGGCTCGTCGCCAGGATTTTGTGGCTTGCAGGAGAAATTTTTTCAGCTGGGGCTGAAGTTCTCAGGGCAGAAAGAAAAGCCTTTTTGCCAATAGAAAGTTGTTGCAAGGATAGATCTCTAAATTGCAAGCTGTCAGCCACTTGAGATGACAGTTCTCAGCTGCTGCAAGTTAATCACTTCTGCCAGCCTCAGCAACAATTCTGAGAACAAGCCAGCAGTCAAGAAAGCTAACAGACAGAAAAATAGTAAAAAGCCCAGTAGTACTTTTAAGGCTGACAAACTTTATTGTACCATAAGCTTTCGAGGAACACAGTTCTGCATCTGACGAAGAGGACTGTGTTTCTCAAAAGCTTATGCTACAATAAAACTTGTTAGTCTTAAAAAGGGCTTTTTACTGTTTTGCAGCAATAGACTAACACAGCTATTTCCTCTGGATCTAGGAACAGGCGGAAAAACTCTCTTAAGGGAGACCAGTTTCTTGACAGAGTTAGAAGGGACCCCAGAGGTCAAATTTTCCAACCTCCTTGCTCAATGCGAGAATTAGTCAACTACAGCACCCCACTCTGTTTAAAGAAGTGCGCACCTTTTTAAAAATCTTTAAAAATGAATGAAAAAAGCAGTTACAGGAGAAATTATTGTGGGCCTGTGCCTTTAAGAAAGGGTCAGAGTTTTAGAAAGAGCCAGGGAAACGTTTTGTATATAATGCAATAGATACTATATTGCAATTTTATACAAAGTGCAAATTAATTTTTAAAGTGCTTAATTCATAAATCCATAAAATACCACCTATTAATTCATACATAAGGATCTCAATATTATAAACAGATCACAATACATTAAGAGAATCACAATGCATCAATATATTAACGACGCTTCCGGCTTGAGTCTTCGTTTCGCTCCTCAGAAGTAAATTCTCTTATGACTTCCTCAGAAGTAAATGCTCTTAATCAACATTTTGCACTGAGTGTCGTCTCTTTTATTTTCCAAGGTTTTTTCTCTCTCTGCTTATCAAAGCTTATGTTCCAAATAGGAAACAACAACCTTCACGCCAGGCTCCAGTCCAGTCTGCTGCACGCTATGAAATGCTATAAATGAAGACTTATGTATGAATTAATAGGTGGCATTTTATGAATTTATGAATGAAGGACTTTACAAATTAATTTACACTTTGTATAAAATTTCAGTATAGCATCTATTGCATTATATACAAAACGCTTCCCTGGTTGTTTCTATAACGCTGATCTTGCATCAACTAGGAGGTCTCTCATATATTACTTACCTTTAAGAAAGGGGGCTGAGCTCCCCAAAGCTCCATCATAGCTACAAGCCTGTTGGTGGGCACGCTAAGGGAAGTATTGGTGGATGCTATGCAATGCTCCCTCTAAGCTGTGGAGTCCTGTGAGCAAAAATCCTACTTTATGAGCTACTGGCATTCGAGTGGTGACTGAGTGATTTGGCGACTGCATAAATGAGAGCCATCCTTCCTGAGCGAAATGTGTGAGCCGGAGGCTAAAAAACGGTGAGCTGGCTCACACCAACTCAGCTTGGAGGGAACACTGGCGCCATGATCTCAGGGCCACCACACTGGGGAGCGAAGCACTAGACCCCCACACTTCTATGAGAAATGGGACCAGTTGTGGGTGTGTATACATGTGGTTCAGCCCTCGTGCCATCAGTCCTATGCATAAACACATCACTCAAATGCTAACGTGTAATTGTGGGGCAATGGCACCTTGACTTTGACCACACCCCGGCCCGGCCCCACCTGTCGCCCTTTGGGCATTTGGAGAGACATCTCTGCTTCTTTGCTTTGTACCTGTATTCCCCGAAAGTCTCATCCTTCATTGGCCGGGCCTCAGAATCCACCTGCGTATCTTCCTTGTCTTTAACTAGAACAGAAGAGAGCACGTGTTAAACTAGAAGAAAGGGTTAGGAGGTGGGGACCACCCTAGGCAGGGTTTCGGAACTGGGGGCGGGGTGGGGGTGGGGGTGGGGTTAGTACCAAATGATCTCTCCGGAAGAGAAAGCTATACCTCTCCGCTGCCTATAAGGCAGTGGTGATGTGTCGTTTCCAGGCCCGTAGCTAGGGTAGGGCCTCCCGGCACCCGGAATTCCTCCCAAAGCACCACGACTTTTGGGAAGAAATGGGGGGAGGCTGCAGACGCCTGCACTCCAAGCTCTAAATTCGCAGCTTGGAGAGCGGGCGCATGGCCCCCGCTACTCCCCCAAAGCATTTAAAGGGTCCCTTTAAATGCTTTGAGAGAGAAGCAGGTGGGAGGCCGCGAATTTCAGTGCCCCCGATTTTTTAAAAGCCCCCCCTATTTTTTAAAAAATATCCCGGCTACGGGACTGGTAGTTTCTCTTCTGGAGCACGGACTGTATGGTTGGGATTGGAAGGGGTTGTGAAGGAGCTACTTTCAGTCCGGGGACTAAAAGATTCAATGGTTTCCGGGAAGGGATCTGGGGCCGGAAAGGGATGTTAGTTGTTCAGGAGAGTTGAAGATGGAATGATGAAGACCTACAGTACGCACAGCGACCTGCTAACGTCTCAGGTCAAATAGGTTTTGCAGGTTTTTTTGGAAACACTTCAAAAAAAAAAAAAAACCTACCAAACCTCTTTTGTCAGAGACGATAGCAGGTATCGGTGCACAAACGACGATTCTATCGTAACACTTTCTTATTTTGTGACGGTTTTGACAGCTTTAATTGTCACGAGTTCCTCGCAAGGAACCCTGGGACTCGTAGTTCTGGGAATACGACGAGAACCCGTGATAGGGGAGCTCCCAACGAACGGCATGAACGAAGCAACGGCTGCTAAGCCTGTTGGTGTTCCTGAGTTCAGGATTCGCTCATGCCACGGAGCTGCTCACAGGCTGAACGCGGAACCTCCCTGTGCGCTTTATGACCATTTTATTTGTTTCCCCCCTTCTCTGACGCCACTCGGGTTATCCATCTGCGCCACCCGGGTTCAACTCCTAGTCCAACTGCGTCTTTGCTAGATGGACGTCAACCACTCCCCACCAGGCTCGGTCTTCTTCTTCTTGTGTGAAATGGGGATGATAGTAACCTACCTCACGGGACTGTTGTGAGGACGAACGACACCAGGCACGCTTTAAAAAAACCGCTACGTAACGGATAAGTGATAATAGCCTGGGGGGGAAGGCCCACGGGGGATCTGCTGCGAGATGCTAGGGTGGGGCTGGGGGCACCTCACCCGAGTACTTGCCACCCTTGCTGCGCTTGATGAAGCAGAGGAGCACCAGGACCAGGATCAGGAGGACGATGGCACTGACAAAGCCGATGAACCAACCTTGTGAAGCGAAGCCCGCCTGCTGCGCGGAGTCTGCAAGGGAAGGAGAGGAGGATTCCAGACAGGGGACCAGGACAGCTGCCTGGCTGTACGTTCGTATGAAGTGAATAAGGTTATAACAACCAATGTCTGTGGGATCTGAGGCGGTCTTCGTAAGAAGAGATCTGCTGGACAAGACCAGTGGTTGATCTAGCCTAACATCCTGCCTCACACAGGGGCCAGCCAGTTCCTCTGGAGAGCCAGCAGCAGGGCAGAGAGGCCGAGGCCTTCCCCTGAGAAGGACACCAGAAGAGCCCTGCTGGGTCAGACCAGGGAGGGTCCCTCTAGTCCAGCCTCCCGTCTCACACAGGGGCCAGCCAGTTCCTCTGGAGGGCCAGCAACAGGGCAGAGAGGCCGAGGCCTTCCCCTGAGAAGAACACCAGAAGAGCCCTGCTGGGTCAGACCAGAGAGGGTCCATCCAGTCCAGCCTCCCATCTCAAACAGGGGCCAGCCAGTTCTTCTGGAGGGCCAACAACAGGGCAGAGAGGCCGAGGCCTTCCCCTGATAAGAACCTCAAAAAAGACCCCTGCTTGACCAGACTAGTGGACCATTTAGTCCAGCATCTTGCCTCACACAGTGGCCAACCAGTTCCTCTGGAGGGCCTTCAACAGGGCATAGAAGTCGCAGTGTTCCCCTCATGGCACTGGGGTTCAGAGCTTGACAATTTCTGAATGTGGACACTCCCTCATGGGAATGTGGAAGTGGCCAACCAGTTTCCTCTGCAGGCCAACAACAGGGCATAGAGGCTGAGGTCTATATAAGGAGAGCTCTGTTGGATCAGGCCAGTGGTCCATCTAGTCCCGAATCCTCGCTCACATTCCCCTGAGAAGAACCTCAGAAGAGCCCTGCTGGGTCAGACCAGTGAGGGTCCCTCTAGTCCAGCATCCTGACTCACACAGGGACCAACCATTTGCTCTGCAGGCCAACAACAGGGAATAGAGGCTGAGGCCTACATAAGAAGAGCCCTGCTGGATCAGACTGGTGGTCTATCTGGTCCAGCATCCGGTCTCACACAGCGGCCAACCAGTTCCTCTGCAGCTCCAGCAACTGGGCGTAGAGGCTGCGGCCTTCCTCTGATGTAGCCTCTTGGCACTAGACTACCTCTGAATGTGTAGGTTCCCTTTATTGTACAGAAGCTTGAATAGCCCTCCTTAGCCCGGGATTGTCAAAGCTCAGGAACTAAGCTGGATCAGCCATGGCTAGTACTTGCATGGGAGACCATCAGGGAAAGGCAATGACAAAACACCTCTGTTGTGCTCTTGTCTGGACGCCCTGTGGATGTTCCCAGTCATATCACTCTCCACACGCACTTTCTTCAGGGAATGTTTTATTTAGAGATATGAGATGCTATGGGTTCAAACGCTTTGTCAGGACTGGGGTGCAAAGGCGGGAAATCCACGTATAGGTACAAGTAGGGCTATTTCTGGGCAGGAACACACAGGAACGGAGTTCTGGCTAGGCTTGCCAAGTCCCCGCGGGGGGCGGGTAAACCCACGCCCGAGAGGCCCGTTACCCGACGCCAGTAAATCGGGCCCCGGGGGGAACCCCACCCCCTTCCGGCACACGTCCCCAGCGTGATGATGTCATCATCACGCTGGCCACGTTGGGGGTGGGACGCTCTATGATTTGAGGGGAAACTCTATGGTCCCCCCCAAATCCTAGTGGCCCCGCCCCCAGTGTGCCGATGTGATGACGTCACTTCTGGGTGGCATCATCGCGGTGGCGCGCCTGGGTGGACTCCCAAGATGGCACGGGACTCCCCCGAGGTAAGTTAATTTGGATTTGGCAACCCTAGTTCCGGCTGGCTTTAGAGTTGGCCACACCTGCTACAGCCAAAACGTCTGCGTGCGTGGCTACAGAGGGAAGGCCTGGAGAGCGACACCACCCCGGCGACTCTGAGGCGGGCGGGCCAGGGGGGCCCTGTCCAAGGGCTGCCTTGCCCAGGCTCCCTGCAGCCACGGGACACCCGGGCAAGCCAAGGGAAGGCATGGGGGTGTGTCCTAATATGCTAATGAGCTGCACTGGTGATGTCAGGGTGTGGCCTAATATGCTAATGAGTTCCTGCTGTTGGGTATGGCCTATTATGCTAATGAGTTCCTGCTGGGCTTTTTCTACAAAGAACGCCCTGGGTACAACCCTAAAATTCCATTCATACACGTCAGCATTACTACAAAGACCGTGAAAGATGTCTTTGTAGTAAGGCCTCCTAGGACTGGGATCTTACATAATTCTGATACTGACAGGGAAGCGCTTATTCTCGGTTCTGAAATGTATCGATCAACTTGACCTCGAACAAGAAACTGTCCCCATGCCCTGACCTAGATAGCCCAGGCAAGCCCGATCTCGTCAGATCCCGGAAGCTAAGCAGGACCGACCCTGGCAAGTATTTGGATGGGAGGCCTCCAAAGAATACCAGGGTCGGGAGGCGGAGGCAGGCTACCAAGCCACTTCTCTGAACGGCCTTCATGCTCCGGTGAGAGTCGCCAGAAGTCGCACATACAAACACAAATGCAAAAAAAGAAAAAAAAAAAAAAGTCCCCACGATTCATAAGCAGGTTCAGCACTGGATTAATACCACCAAAACCTTACAAGACAACTAAGCAAAGCTATTTCCTTTCTCTCCAAAATGTTAGGAACTTGGGTTGCCAGCCCCTGGGGGGGGGGAAGCAGGGTAACCCCTGATTTTGTAGGCTCCTGCCAGGGGTCGTTTCGTAGAAAAAGAGCTAGGGGAACTCATTAGCATAACTCATTAGCATATGCCACACCCACTGACATCAGGGGCCTGGCGGTGGACCTGCAAGGCCGGCGGGAGTGCGAGGAAGCCCCGCCAAGGCCCTCCCTGGCTCCAGGCAGGCAGGGGTGGGGAGAGGCAGGGAGGAAGCAACTTACCCTCCCTCTTCTCCT